TTATCTCGTATAAATATCGTACTATCCTTAAGAAGAGACATTCAACTAAAGTTCGGTAGTGTGAGTTAGTTGTTTTAAGTTTTGTTGGAAATACGTGGAGAAAAGTGACAAAGAATAAGTGATAAAATGATTATTTTCTTATACACCATCATTTGTGCAGCATTTTTGAACGAGTGCAATGCTGTTCTGAACCACGGCAGTTCTTCTGGAATCAATTCATATTTAGCTTCATCGTCCAATAATGACTTGGAATATCAAAGATATCCAATTCGATTTGCGTGTATAACATCAAATTCGTATGTACTCCAAGTTTTGGATTTTTTTTATTTATTTAATCAATACTTTTTAAATCCATTTCTATCTAAAACACATTACACTGCAGTCAAACTGAATTTTATATGATCGATGTAAATGGAAGCATTCCGTCAGCTTTGGTTGATCAGCTGGATAATGGAAAAGGTCTGTCGTTATTCTTCCAGGAGGCCACGAATATTGTAGATTCTTCGAATGGTAAATATTTTATTTTAACACCACAATACCTGTTAACTGTTTTATGAGCTTTCGATCAAAATTGAGCTACTTTGCATATATTTGAATTCCAATTTATTTTCATAGAATTACTTGCTTCATTTGTTAGTGGTAAGTTTTCTCACTCTATATTTTATATCTCTTTATATTTTCTGGTGTTTTTAAATAAATGTCTGTTTAAATACTTAATCATCTGTGTGAAACGATTATCTGTGTTATAATAAGCTCATTTCAATCCTCTCCAGAGTGGTCCATGACATCCAAAAACAATGTATGTATCGTAACGTATGCCTATACATCAAGTTTATCGAATGGTCTTGAAGTAGTTGCGGTTGCCGATAAAATGGTGTCAACTCAACGCCTTGAATACGTTGCAAATTTGGTAGGTGACGTAGTGCTTGGCGTGCAAGGGAAATGTGTTAAATCGAAAAGAAAGCAATGTCTCAGGCACTTAGCACAAGTTGATGTGAGTGGTTTTGGTCTTGGTGCACATATCGCTGGCAGAACTTGTCAATACTTGAAGCGAAAATTGCGCCAACGTGTTCGAATACTATTGGGTATGTATTGTGTCCAAACACTCTTAAATTGAAGTAACAAAACAGTATCTTTTTCAAATTTATCGAACTTAAATAGCTTTGGATCCAATAAAAACACCTCTC